CTGCAAACCTCGCAGTAAATAAATCATCCGTTGTTGGTTCAAGATATTTTACGATCGAGGGTGATTTATACCCACATATATACCCAACCTTCTTTGAGGTCCTATTTTCGTGCGTTGAGGTGACGCAATTGGAACATAAAAAATACACCCAAATATTCGCAAGTGAGATATATTTGGTATGTTTCCAGAAACCAATTGAGTAGGGGAATAACATTGATAATTTGTCGGCCTTATTTTCACGAGGGCTGCTGCATGCAATATAGCATGTCCCAAACATGATACGGGAAGTTTATACCTCATTAACAATGGTTTAGCAATTAATTGCAATCTTTTGATAAGGGATTCAGCCAGACCATTTTGCGTATGTACATGGGGAACAAGATGTTCCACAATAATCCCAAATTGACATGCAGTAATCATCAAATGTATATGATGAATACTCTCCAGCATTATCTAGATGTATTTTATTTATCGGGTGATCTAGAAATTGTGTTCGCAATTTAATTATTTGTGCAAGTAGTCTAGCGAAAGCTAGATTGCGAGTAGATAACAGACATACGTGTGACCATCGTGTTGACGCGTCAATTAGTACCATAATGTACTTGAAGGGTCCACATGGTGGATCTATTAGTCCACAAATATCACCCTGAATTCTTTCCAGAAAAGCTTGGGATTCAAATCCAACCTTTGTTGGAGATGACCTGATTATTAACTTCCCTTGGGAACAGACAACACAGACAAATTCATTCGGACTCAAAATATTTTTCTTTTTCAATGAGTGGCCATTTGAATTTTCAACAATTCGCCTCAGCATTACATTGCCAGGATGCCAAAGTCGATCGTGCTAAGTTTTAAATTCACTAGTAGCCATTTGGTCTACTAGGTGATATGTTTCAATGGCACTGAATTTTGAATAATACAAGCCAGAAGAAAATGATGACAATTTTTCTTTCACAATTCTTTTGCCATTCACAACCTGAGTTATCAGAAGATATTCATTTTCTGCCTTATTCAATGTTTCAATGTGATACCCATTTTTCCGAATATCACTAAAGCTCAGTAAATTCCTTCGAGCTTTGCTCGAGAACAAGGCATTTTCAATTTTCATTTTTGTCCATTTTGGGAGATATATACAATAGCTTTTTCTGAGCCTTCAATCATTTTCGATGCACCACTGATAATAACAATTGTGGTCTTTCCCATATTCAGATGAGAGAAATAACTTTTGTTTTTCAGAATGTTGTGGGTCGTAGCACTGTCCATAAGGCAGATATTGTCATCGGCTTCAATATATCTGGCATCCATATCTTTACAAGAAGGTAAAAATAATAAAATACATGTATTAGTAACATAATCAAAATAGACTTATATTATATGGGGTAATACAAAAAGGGGGCATAAAACATTAAAATAACAAAAGAGATACAACAATATTTTATCATTTAACATCATCAGCTATGTCAAGCAAATCATCGGCATCCAGGTGCGTGATACTTTCATTCATCACATCGTCAAACGTGTCATTATGGGCAGCGTGATTTTTTTTGGGGGCAATTCTTCCCTGCCTTTCTTTTGAGGCCCGATACAGTTCAGCTAAGTGACTGGCTGTCGACAAACATGGGCCCAATGACCTTTGATTCCACACCGGGTGCATTCCTCGTCATTATTTATGTTCTCCCGGTGTTGGATCTCTATTGAGGTCTGTACGGCCTTCTGTCATTATAACGCCGATTTGGCATATATCGGGGTCTGTTTTGATCATTATTGTGACTGTATGCGTTTGCCCGGCCCCGTCCGCAATTCTGATTTCGATCGCGATCAATTCGCTGATTTCTGACTTGCCCACAACCACGCACCGGATTTGCCGGTTGTATTGCATTTGCCTTTGGAAATGGATTTGCACCCGTCGGCCGAGATTCATGATTTTTCAACAGCAATTCATTATTTTGTTCGGCCAGCAAAAGATAGATGTTCATTTCACAATATTTCTGGAAGCCTCTTTCGTGATACTGCTGCTGCAAAACCATGTTAGAGGCATGAAAAGTGGAGAAAGTTTTCTCCATCATATCAGATTCAGATATATTTTCGCCACAATGGCGCAACTGTGATGTTACTTTAAACATGACAGAATTATATTCTTGGACTGTTTTAAAGTCCTGAAGCCGTAGGCTTTGCCATTTGCTTCGTGCCCTTGGCAACAATGTTAGCCTCAAATGATCATATCTTTCTTTTAATCTCTCTCACAATTCAAGTGGGAATTCCAGCGTGACATACTGCATTTTCAATGCCTCATCGATGTAATGGCAAAAAAAGATCATGGCGTTTGCACGAACTTGACTTGGGGAGTTTTTATCCCGGACAATGGTATTTTTCAAGCCCATTGATGCCAGATGCATTTTAACATCGCGAACCCATGCCATATAATTTTGGCCAGAAACGAGGAGAGAGAGAAATTTCTGTTTAACAAGGTTAGACATAATAAACAAATAAAATATAAAGTATTACTTTGCGAAAATAAATATATAATCGTGCTGATAACGTGTTGTGATGTTATTATATATAAAGTATTACATTGCCAATAAAAATATTAATTATTCCTACCGCTAAGCACAATTTTATATATTATATATAGTATATTATATAATATATATATATGTATGTGACAAGCGTGTATATATTATAATATATAATATAGATGTATAGTATATATGTATGTATGTATGCAAAGATACATATGATATTATATAATAGTAGTAATCAAACACAGAGAGCACAGGAGATTGAGAGTAAAATTGAAGTGTATTATTTCATTTCATTTACAGACCTATTTATAGGTAGACAAACCTTAATTCGAAGGAAAGTAAAAGCATACATATCCATTACGTAGCACCTTTGTAAGTGCGACGTGTATGACAATAACAACGTTTAAAATAAGTAAAAGAAATTTACTTACATTAAATGTGAAGGTGTCATTGTGTAGTTGGTTATCACGTTAATCTAACACATTGAAGGTCTCCGGTTCATGTCCGGCAACGCTATTATTTTATTTTTACTCATTTAATTTGGTAATTAATTATTAAACTAAAAATATTATTTTTATATACAATTTTATAAATATACTAGTAAAGCACTATATGTAATGATGAATATATTTTTCTTAATTTGCATTTTTACTCATTTAATTTTTTATTAATTATAACAAAAATGGATCGTAATTAATTATTAAACTAAAAATATTATTTTTAATTAAAATTTTATAAATATATTAGTAAAACGCTATATGTAGTGATGAATATATATTTTTTAATTTGCATTTTTACTCATTTAATTTTTTATTAATTATAACAAAAATGGATCGTAATTAATTATTAAATTAAAAATATTATTTTTAATTACAATTTTATAAATATACTAGTAAAGGGCTATATGTAATGATGAATATATATATATTTTAATTTGCATTTTTAATCATTTAATTTTTTATTAATTATAAAAAAAATGGATCGTAATTAATTATTAAACTAAAAATATTATTTTTAACTACAATTTTATAAATATACTAGTAAAGCGCTACATGTAATGATGAATATATATATATACATGTAATGATGAATATATATATATTTATTTTCTTTCGCAAATTAAAATACATCTATTATTATATATTCAACGTCTCATCTTCATTCATATTTAATTTTTTTCTCATAATAATTGACCGTTTTTTTTTATTTTAGATAAATTTTACTAAATTAAAATATATTTCATAACTATAATTAATATAATTAACTACATAATATATAAAATCATACATATATGACCACTCAAAAACTTTTTTATTTTTATCTCTATTTTCATTAAACAAATATATTTATTTACATTTAAAATTTCATATCTTTTATAAAATTAATTTATATTAATTATAAATAAATAAACATATTTTTCCATTTATTTGTGTTACGTACGAAATTTAGAATTAGGTTAAAAGCCCAAGGTAAAAAGAAGAATGGGCCTGGCAATAGGGTTGATTGAACTGGCTGAAGGACACTGTGAGGAAATCAAGGAAAATAGATTTATTTCTAAGGAAAATACAAGACGGAAGGTCCTCAGGTCGGTAGGTCCTCAGGTCGGTAGGTCCTCAAGACGGAAGGTCCTCAAGACGGAAAGACCTCAAGTCGGAAGGTCTTCAGGTCGGGAGGTCCTCAAGATGAAAAGACCTCAGGTCGGAAGGTCTTCAGGTCGGGAGGTCCTCAAGACGGAAAGACCTCAGGTCGGAAGGTCTTCAGGTCGGGAGGTCCTCAAGACGGAAAGTCATCAGGACGGAAGGTCTTCAGGTCGGTAGGTCCTCAAGACGGAAAGTCATCAGGACGGGAAGTCCGCAGGTCGGGAGGCTTTCAGGTCGGGAAAAGGAAAAAAGTTAAGATCTCAAGAATTGATCCAAATCCAGACCGAAGTCGGGCAGACGCGGAGGTCTGTTAAGAGGAAGGTCGGGCAAGGAAGAGGTACGGACAGATGCGGAGGTCTTCGGTCGAAGACGGAGGGCGGCTGATGCGGAGGTCGGCCCAAGCGAGGTCGGGCGAAGAAGCAGGTCGGGCGAAGGACGAAGTCGGGCCAAAAGAGCGGAAGGTCTTTGGTCGGTTCAAAGAGTGAAATATAAGGATAATTTTGGTCTGCTGAGGACACGTGTCAGCATGAAAAGGGTTGGAAGACGGTTGGGAAGGAGACGTTGTAACCGTTCGGGTGACGGTTTTCAGTACGGTTTCCCAGAGAATATTTAAAGGTTTGAATCATCATTTGGCAAGATATCTTCAATCAACTTCAACAAAGCAAAGTCAGATTTGGGGATCACCACTTTAAATTTCAGTCTTTTATTTTCCAGTTTATTTTCTGTACCGTACAATGTTTAGAGATTCCTAATCTCAGGCACTAATTAATCAAGTTTAAGGATATTTTCCATATCTTTGAATTTTACTTTATTTTTGTTGAAAAAATACATCAACAAATTGGCGACCACAGTGGGAGAAAATTGCTGATCCATATGGCAAATTTTCAATTCCACAGTACAGCCGTTGGCTTTATCACGGCAGAAGAAGCTTCCCAACTACGGGCCGAATTGACAGCAGGTTTTACAGCATGTTTTCGGCAAATGTACGACCAGCAGATAGCAAATCTGCAGGCAATACATGACGCAATGCAAAACTTGATGGAGCAATCAAAATTCATGTTGAATTCGGTTCCTGCACCGCCAGAAATGTCATGCCCCCAAACGGACAACGCCATTCCTGAGCATATACCCAGTCAGACAGACTGGAAACAGGACCAAACAGGAGGACAGGCCCGACCAGGGACGACCGAATGGACGGAGACAGGTCGGCAGGATCACGACGCCTGGACGGACCATGGTCGGGAAGACCACACCGACTGTACGGACCATGGTCGGGAGGACCACACCGAATGGACGGACCGTAGTCGGGACAACCACACCGACTGGATGGACAAAGGTCGGGAGGACCACGCCGACTGGACGAATACAGATCGGGAAGACCACGTCGACTGGACGGACAAAAATCGGGAGGACTACGTAACCTGGACGGATACAGGTCAGGAGGACCCCGCCGAATGGACGGATACAGGTCAGGAGGACCCCGCCAAATGGACGGATACAGGTCAGGAGGACCCCGCCGAATGGACGGATACAGGTCAGGAGGACCCCGCCGAATGGACGGACACGGGTCAGGTCGCCGACCATAACTTTTCAGGCAAGCAAAAGAATGACAGAACAACAGTGGCCGAAAGGAGGAATAAGTCGGACGGGAGTCTGAATACAATGGTAGTGCAAGATCGACCAACGTCCAGGCCAGCACCAGTCCGCGATAAATGGAGGTCGGGTCCAACGTAGCCTCGAAGGATGGAGGTCGGATCTGAGGCTGACGTAGCCTCAGATGCCGGCCTGCAAACTCCTAAAACATCACTGGAAGTGATGTTTAGGAGTCTTGAGGAGGAGGCTTATTGTTAAGCACAAAAAATAATAATAATAATAATAATAATAATAATAATAATAATAAGGTATCCAGAGTCAGTCGGTGGGTTCTCAGTCGGTTGGTTCTCAATCAGATAAGCAAGTCAGATGGTCCGCGGTCGGGCAAGCAGGTCGGATTATCCGTCAGATAAATGGGTCGGTTGATACAAAGGTTGGCTGCTATGGGGGTCGGTCGAAAAAGGAAGTCGGGCGAAGAAAGGTCTGTTGATAGGTCAGACGATTGAAGAGACCAAATAGTGGTCGTTTGATGGGGCGACCAGTGAGTTTTTTGATCTGGCGACCAATTATGTATCTAGATTGGTCGGTTGGTCGGTCGTTGGGTTATGCGGTTGGCGAGGCGGTTAAAGACATGTGTCAATGAAAGAGGCAGTTCTGAGTTCTGTAACTGGTGGGAACGGTTGGTGAAACAGTGCGACGGTTCTGAACGTTTTCTTCAAAGAATATTTAAGGATTTGGATCATCATTTGGCAAGGCATCTTCAATCAACTTCAACAAAGCAAAGTCAGATTTGGGGATCACCACTTTAAATTTCAGTATTTTATTTTTCCAGTTTATTTTCTGTACCATACAGTGTTTAGAGATTCCTAATCTCAGGCACTAATTAATCAAGTTTAAGGATATTTTCTATATCTTTGAATTTTACTTTATTTTTGTTGAAAAATTACATCAACAAATTGGCGACCACAGTGGGAGCAAGACAAAATTGCTCATTCCAATTCCGGCGATAATTTCATACGTCTTAGATCCGGCCGAATCATCGGAAGGGTTATGGCAGGTTCACAACCGCAATCATCTTCGGCACCGGTGGGAGAATCCGTTCCACCACCCATTGTGCCAAATGCCGGGGAAATCCCACAACCACCAACTGATTGGTGGTCTTATGTTCAACAAATGAACAACCAGCATACTTTGGTTATGCAGAATCTGTTGCGTGAGCAACAAACGAACATGTTGCGTGAGCAACAGAGTCTAATGCAGAATTTGATAGATCAAGCACTGTCAAGGGTGAGTCTTCAAACCACTCAAACGCCACCAGGAGTGTCCCCGTCCAGACCACAGGCAAATTTCGCAGGGCCATCATTCGTGGATAGTACATTCCCAAGTGCCACAAATCCTAACCGAATGGATAGGGGAAAATCTCCTTTGACTTTTCCCAACAATGTTCCACTGGGACCAAGGGTTACCAATCTGCAGCCGAGCAATACAAGGGAGGACAGGCCTGAAGGATATATACATGATCCTATTCATATTCCTGTGCAGGATCCGTTCCATGTTCCTGATCATCAACGCTTTCATGTAGATCCTGACGAGATTGCACATATATTAAGGGATCAGTATGGATTAACTCCTCAGATGGCTAACCGCCCTGCATATCAGAGACCTTTCCCAGAAAGGATCATTAATGAACACCCTCTCCCAAGGAATTTTCGACCACCCGACTTTCATGCATTCTCAGGGGAGGACGGATCTTCCACCATAGAACATGTTGGTCGGTTCACAGCACAATTAGGAGAAGTTGGCAATAACCCTTTTTATAAGTTACAGCTGTTTGGTTTATCTCTTACTAGAACGGCGTTTTCGTGGTTTGTAAGTTTGCCTCCAGGACAAATTCAGACATGGGAAGGACTGGAGATGGCATTTCACGCTAGATTCTTTAATCCTTTACCAGTTGTTTCTTTAACTGATTTACTTGAATTGAGACAGTATCCAGAAGAAACTGCTTCACAGTTTATAGAAAGGGTGCGATTGATGAAGGGACGATGTCCTACGGTAATCAGTGAGAAAGAGATGACCAATTTAGTGGTCCGGAATATGCATACTCGTTTAAGAAAGGCACTCACTGCCCTGGATGTTGAGGATTTGGCAAGTCTTGCATCCAAGGCAGGACGTCTAGAGTCTTTGTTCAGAGAGGAAGATCAGCATAACAGGCGTAATAGAGGCCAACATATGGCGAGTATGGGAACAGAAACATGTGACTTTGATTTTAATCAGTCAGAAGAGATGGCAGCCGAAATCCTTTCTGGAAAACCGTATGTATGTCCTAAATTGAAGCCAGTACCAGGATCTGAAGGAAAGGAGCAACCGACCTTTGATAGTTCGAAAGCTGATGAAATCTTTGATATCCTACTGACTGATGGGCAGATCCGTATTCCAAAGGGCCAAAGACTTGCTACTAAAGAAGAAATCAAAGGGAGACCATATTGTAAGTGGCATAATTCTTTCACACACACTACAAGTCAGTGTACTCATTTTAGGAAGGAAATTCAAAAGGCCATCAAGACAGGTCGGCTCAAATACATCACTCTAGGTGTAGACCAGCAACCGTTTCCGAATGTAACAACGGCAATGGTTGACATCCAACCAAGTTCGGAAACAAGGAAAAGTTCGGCCAACGATGGACAAAAAGGGGAACGAAACCAGCCAAGCCCCGAAACAAAAAAAGGAAGTCGGCCAAACAGCAGCCGACCAGAAGAACGACTCAAAGTTTGTGAGAAGCCAGTTGCTGAAAAGTGGGACCACCCAGATGGTTCTTTTAATGTGGAGGTGAAAGAAAAGGTTTTGGTACGTGATCACCCGACCAGAAAAACAGGGTCGGTCGGGAGCAATTGGGCTCGAAATAAAAAGCCTTTACCAGTTGATATAGACCCTCGTTTCCCGGGTATGAATCGTACACAGATTCGCAATGCCAAACACAGGTATGCTGCAAAGTATGGGAAAAGAGGTCTTTCAGCAAAACAACTAACCGACGAACAAAAAGCAGCCGACCACTTGGCAGGAGATCAGTCCATTCGGGTCTTTACAGAACAAACGACCAACGAGCAGGGAGTAGCCATTCAGTCTCCAGTTGGTCGGTCCAGTCGGGTCTGGTCAGGAAAGCAACCGAATGACGGATTAGGCGCTTCCGACCATACCAAAAGAAGTTCGTCGGGACAGGGGAAAGGTAAAGGAGTGGCAGATGAAATAATTAAAGGTTTTAGATGCCAACATTGTGAACGAATCAACATCAATCCATCTCTTGAAGAATTCCGTATTGAATCTTTGACGGTTCAACCTCAATCTCGGGATAAGACAAAGGAAGAAGTAGTAACTACAGAGGAAAGTTCAAGATCTGTTAAATCTCGTCTGGGACCACGAATTCCTTGTCGAATGACAGAGATTAATCAGATGAGTGATGAACCGACGTGGGCGAGTCTGGTAGATGAAACTATGGACGAACCGTTATGGGCATTCTTGGCAGATGGTGAATTAGAGGAGACAGAGGGGGCAAAGACCTCAGATTCCGACCCTCATTCGGAAACACCTTCGATTGTGTTTCCTCCTATTCCAGAGGGTGCGATCTCTCATTTGAAACCTCTGTATGTTAATGCTCACATTTGTGGGAAACCAATCACTAAGGTTTTCGTGGATAATGGAGCAGTCTTTAACGTTATGCCATTGAAGACCCTCAAGAAGTTAGGGAAAGGAATTCATGATCTGTCTCCTGTGGAATTCGAAATGACAAGTTTTACAGGGCAGCCGACTAAGCCTGAAGGCATGATGGTTGCCACAATCGAGGTCGGACCAAAGAAGATCTCCACTGTTTTCTTTATTGTGGACGCAGATACTACATACTCTCTCTTGCTGGGAAGAGACTGGATTCATGCCTCTCAATGTGTGCCTTCAACCCTGCACCAACAATTAATGTTCTGGGAAGGAAATCAGGTCTTCAAAATGGAAGCGAATGATAATCCATTCGATGTAACAGAACAAGTTGAAGAGTCAGTGTTTTATTCCAGTCAGGTGGCTCCGATGTCTCAGTTGTACATGGCCAGGGAATACCCAATCAAGGGTTATAAAGTCACTGGCCAGAACTCGATGTTCTATTAAAAGAACACCTTTATTGTATGGCTCATGATAAAGCCACACCCATTCCCGTATAATTTGTTTGTAATGGAAGATACAAGCTTAGAAGTATGTAGTTCTCTTATTAATAAGTTCTATTTAAAGCAATTATTACATAAAGTAGAAAATAGTAAAGAGATTCTGGATGTTCACCTCCAAAAAGATGAACAATTTCGTTGGCCCGACTTATTAGAAAAAACAGAACCAACAGCTTCATCACAAGACCCGTTATTGGAGTTTAATTTAGGAACCGAATTGGTTCCAAAAGTGATCAGGTTAAGTGGTTATTTGTCTAAAGAGCAACAGACAATGATACTCGAAGTTATTAGAAACAACATTGATTGTTTAGCATGGGATTATTCAGAGATGCCTGGTTTGACAAGAAGTTTAATAGAGCATCGATTGCCTATCAAAGAAGGTTGTAAACCTTACAAACAACCTCCAAGGCGAATGAGCCTGGATCTGATGCCTCAAATCAAGGAAGAAATCCAAAAACTTCTCAAAGTGGGTTTCATTCAGCCTTGCCGTTATGCGGAGTGGCTGGCTAACATTGTGCCAGTGGTCAAGAAAAATGGTAAGATAAGGATATGCATCGACTTCAGGGATTTGAATCTAGCTACCCCTAAAGACGAATATGTGATGCCTATGGCCGACATGTTGATAGATGCAGCAGCAGGACATAAAATCCTTAGTCTGATGGATGGTTATGCAGGTTATAACCAAATATTTCTGGCAGAAGAAGACATTCCTAAGACAGCATTCAGGTGCCCAGGGGCTTTAGGTATTTATGAATGGACAGTCATGCCATTCGGGTTAAAGAATGCAGGGGCAACTTACCAAAGAGCCATGAATTCAATCTTTCATGATTTAATTGGCAGATCTATGGAAGTTTATATTGATGATGTTATAGTTAAATCTGCCAGTTTTGACGAACATTTGAGAGATCTTGAAGAGGCATTTGAAAGAATGAAGAAGTACAAGTTGAAGATGAATCCAACCAAATGTGCTTTTGGAATATCAGCCGGGAGCTTTTTAGGATTTCTAGTTCATGAGAGAGGAATTGAAATCGATGCCAACAAGGCTAAAGCCATTCTTGATAGTCGGCCACCCAAGACGATTAAAGAAATCCAAAGTCTTTTGGGTAAGGTGAACTATTTGAGGCGTTTCATTTTAATGCTGCTGGCAAGGTCAGACCCATCACTAAATTGTTGAAGGCTGGAAAAAATGCTTTTGAATGGGGTCCAGATCAACAGATGGCTTTAGATGCTATCAAGCAGGCATTGGTTCACCCTCCAGTCTTGATGCCTCCTAAACAAGGTCGGCCACTCAAACTTTATTTGGCAAATACATATGAAGTGGTTAGCTGTTTATTGGCACAGGATGGTGATGACGGGAAGGAAAGGGCAATCTACTATCTCAGTAAAACCCTTACAGGACCAGAACTGAATTACACTATGCCAGAAAAAATGTGTTATTCATTGGTCTTCGCGTGCATTAAACTCGAGCATTATCTGCTGCCCAGAAGAGTTGAGGTCATATCAAAGGTGGATCTCATCAAATTGATTTTACAGAGACCTACTATGAAGGGCAGACTCATGAAGTGGGCCATCAAATTGGCTCCTTTTGATCTTCAACATTCCCCTTTGAGGGCAGTCAAGGGACAAGCAGTAGCCGACTTCTTAGCAGAATTTTCCCAAGTCGGGTATTCTCATAGTGACAACATCCGACCATTTGGTTGTTCATCATATTTGAATACCCTACAGGTCGGATGTGTGCCTTATATAAGTACTAGAACATGGTTGATGTTCTTTGATGGTTCTACCTCTGGAAACAAATCAGGGGCAGGGGTCTTTTTGCAAGGACCTGATGGTCAAAAGATCAACTTACAACTACGATTGGAAGCCATGACCCATAATTCAGCAGAATATGAAGCTTTAATTTTGGGTTTGGAGGCTTTGATTGCCAGGAAGGTCCAGTCTGTAATCATAAGGGGGGATTCTCAATTAGTAGTCAACCAGGTAAACAATCAATATGTTTGCAATTACCCTCATCTGCGCAGATACAGGGACATTGTGGGTCGGTTACTGACAAAAATCTCAGAAGTAATAATTGAGTTCATTCCGAGGAAAGAAAACCAACGTGCTGATGAATTGGCTCAAAGGGCATGTAAAGGAATTCTGGAGGATATGTGGTCGGAGGTCAAGTCGGGCATAGAAGGAAAGACGGACCCAATATGTGACCGAATGGTCGGGCAAGAGACGGTCGCACAGGAGCCTGACTGTGAAATTATGGTCGGGCAGAAGATGGTCGTTCAGGAGCCCGACTGCGAAGTTATGGTCGA